TTTGTTAATCTGGACGTTCAGTTAATCTGGACCTTTGTTAATCTGGACGTTCAGTTAATCTGGACCTTTGTTAATCTGGACGTTCAGTTAATCTGGACCTTTGTTAATCTGGACCTTTGTTAATCTGGACCTTCTGTTAATCTGGACCTTCTGTTAATCTGGCCCTTCAGTTAAGCTGGACGTTCAGTTAATCTGGACCCAGCAGAAGGACAGCAGGCAGGCCCGGGGTTGGTGAACAGGACTCGCAGCTCTTAGCTGCAGAACTCGATTAGAGAAGTTTTATTAAATGCCTCCTCGTCCCCGGAGACCTCAGATGGTGTTTGTTAGGAGACGAAGGCTGGATGAGAGGAAGAGGAGCGAGGAAGAGGAGCGAGGAAGAGGAGCGAGGGAGTGAAAACAGAGCTGTGATTAAATGGCTTTTTGATGCTGATGCGTTTGGACGTCCCATGGCTTGTTATCTTCCTGTAATGTGAGGAGATGTGGTGGGAGGCTCTCACTGCTCCGCTTCACTACTTCTGCTGCCAACAAATCACAGCCAGAAGCAGCCGCAGGCTAACACAGGCTAACCAGAGACAGGCGCAGGCTATCACAGGCTAACCAGAAGCAGGCACAGGCTAACACAGGCTAACCAGAAGCAGCCACAGACTAACACAGGCTAACCACAGTCAGCCGCAGGCTAACACAGGCTAACCAGAGACTGCNAAATATCCCTTTAAAACCTTTAAACATCCCTTTAAAACGTCTTTAAATATCCCTTTAAATATCCCTTTAAAACCTCTTTAAATATCCCTTTAAATATCCCTTTAAAACCTCTTTAAATATCCCTTTAAAACCTCTTTAAATATCCCTTTAAAACCTCTTTAAATATCCCTTTAAAACGCCTTTAAATATCCCTTTAAAACGCCTTTAAATATCCCTTTAAAACCTTTAAATATCCCTTTAAATATCCCTTTAAAACGCCTTTAAATATCCCTTTAAAACGTCTTTAAATATCCCTTTAAAACGTCTTTAAATATCCCTTTAAAACGCCTTTAAATATCCCTTTAAAACGTCTTTAAATATCCCTTTAAAACGCCTTTAAATATCCCTTTAAAACGTCTTTAAATATCCCTTTAAAACCTTTAAATATCCCTTTAAATATCCCTTTAA